TTCTAACGGTGGTTTAAGTTGGGGGACCATATTGCAAACGGAATAAATGTTGGGGGACTGTATTGCAAGTTTTAAAAGTTGAGGGACCTAAATGCAAGCTTCAGAAATATTCAGTGACCATTACTATACTTTACCCTAATAATAATTATTGTTTGCTTTTTTTTCATTTAACTTCTTTACTTTTATCACTTGGGAGTAGTGTGAGATGAAAGTCTCTTGCAGGTTTTAAATGAGAGAAATAAGTAAGGATTCCCTTTTTCGACTCTAACTCTCCCACTATCATTATTGTTTTCTTTTGTTATTTCGAAAGTAGCTGCTTCGATTTCAATCACTCAATTTTTCAATATTCCTTTTTATGCCTCATCAAATGTGTAACATCTTCTTTTCGAAAGTAGCACCATCATGTTGTTGTAGGTAAACATTAGTTTTGCACGACAATACATGTAACATATGATACATGTGCATCAACGTTTAAAACTTAGAAAGTCCTACTCTCAAATATCTCATTTTGTTAATACTTTTGTCTCAAATAAAAAATAATACAATATAATTACCTTTGCATTACCACAAAAATTTTAAGGTGATCATGCAAATTATTTGGCTTTGCAAAATAATGACATGGGCAATATAATTTGCAGTTGGCGAGCCGTGTTGCCAATTTTGGCTTAGCGGGGCATTAAATTTGTGCCTTTGCCGAGATAGTGATCTGATTAACCTCAGCAGAGTCATTTCCAGCTTTATCAATTCTTTTTTTGGATAAGTAGATTTGGTCCTCGTATATTATCCAAAGAAACAACAAAAGCTGCACCAAACCGGGATCAACATCGGATCCTCACTCGGCGCATAACCACAAATTCACCCCTTTTTTTTATGCGATTTTCTCCAAAAATCACTCTGATCAACTTTATTTAACTGTCATACACTCTTTTATTTTTATTTCTCGATCTAACACCTATTACAGAAAGACGCGATCCACGCCTTATACTGATGTGACGTTACGTGGGGTAAGGTGCGGTCATGCACTACATCTTGCAAAACATGTAAAAAATGAGTGCTAGTTTTATAAATATTTTTAAAATTGTGCCTAATATATAATTAATTTCAATTAGGATAATAATTGTGTAAAAACGTCAAATTTTTTTTGTGCGTGGAAAAAAAAATTCTACATTAAAAACTTTAAATATTCTTTTATAAATTATTTTATAACTCGAAAAATTTTAATTTTTGCATGAAATTACACTATGCATATAATCTAATATAGGAAAACTTTGAGAATAAGTATTTTAAAATATGAATAATTTTATAAAAATTTTATAACTAGTATTTCTTTTACAAAATGAGGATGATGATGATAATAAATATTTTATAATTTAAAAAATTATAAATTTCATATATTTTTAAAAATTTTATTGACTTTTAAAATTAATTGTTTAAAATATAAAAAAAATATTAAAATTAATTTTTAATTACAATTGAGAGATCAAATGAATTATTATTCATTAATTATTATTTTTTAACAATAGTTAATAATATTTATTCATTTTTAATAAAATTCGAATTTAATATTTATTTTATATTTTTTAAAAATTAATATTAGAAATAATATTTTTATTGAATTTTATTCACTTTTAATTCTTTTTTATTACATTTTTATTGATTTTTTAAAAAAGTAGATAATAATTCATTTGATCTCTCAATTGTAATTAAAAATTTTTTTTTATATTTTTTATATTTTTAAACAAATAATTTTAAAAATCAATAAACATTATTATTTGTTGTTAAAAATAATATCACATAAAACTAAATAAATGAAGTTTACATTTTTACACAAATATCACCTAATAGAAATTAATTATCTTTTAGACACTATTTTAAAAATATTTACAAAACTAATACTCGTTTTTTTTACATATTTCACAAGGCGCGGTACATAGGCCTTTAATGCGCATGATCGGATCCTCCTATGAAAGGTGTTAGATCAAAAAATAAATTTGATATTTTTGGGGAAAATCACCTTCTTTTTTTTTTATCAATGCTACATTTACTCGGTCTAATCCTAACAATTTCCTTGATACCTCCACCCAATATACTATTCTTTTAAATTGTCTTTGGTTTCCTTCTTCTCAAATACTATATAAAACCCCCACCCAAATCAACTTTAGGACACGAACAATCAACGTTCTCTCTCTAAAACTCACCATCGCCCATTCCTCCCAATCTTTCGATCCAAACTGAAGCTTACACGCCTGCATGATGCCCCTCCGAACAAAAATATGGTCCCATCTTTCCATCTCAACACCACGCAGACCACGCAATAATAGAATGTTTGAGAACATGCTGAGGAAACCAAATAAGTTTTTCCCAAGGCACCTTAACCCTTCTCTCTCTAATCCTATCCCAAATCCAATCGCCATTAATCAAATTCCAACTCACACTAGACCCAAACAAACCCTCTGCCTCATCTCTAAGCTTTAGCAGTTTCCTACCAAGCCAGCTAAAGTGACACTTACATTCAGCTAGAAATCGTCCCCTCCAAACACGTACTCCCTAACCTAAGCAAAGATATTCGTTACAAGAAGCAAACTACATATCTTATTCCAATAAAACATGTTCTTCAATCCCAAAACCTCTTCGGATTTAAGAAAACAAACTTGTTGCCAGCTCACACGAGCACCCTTAACCGCCTAGTCTTCACTTTTCCGAAAAAACGCATACACATTTGCTCTACCTTATAAATCACAACCTTCGGAAGAACAAGTTGGCTGCACCTGTAATTGAAAATACTTAAAACATTGATTAAACAATAGTAAATATTTTAATTATTGATGTAATTAAAACTTCGAGGGTTAAATTGATACAAAAATATTATCTTATAATCATTCGAAACAAATAAAAAAAGATATATCAAATCAAGTTTGAACCGATTGACCCGAATAGTTTATAAATTTGATCAATTTTTTTTATTTTTCGATAAATCATATTATAAGTCATTCAATTAATAGTTAGAGTATAAACGGGTCATAATATTTCCATTCAATTAATCAATTTTAAATTTTAACAATTAATAAGAGCGCACCAACCAAAGTCTGAAGAAGAGAAATACAAAACATGTTGCAAGTTCCCCTATCCCGCTCACACAATTCATATACAACCCCAACCAACTACTTGCCATCGATAACAAAACGCAAACCTTTTGAAATAATGAATTACCTGTAAAAAAATTAATAGTTTACGGTGATTACAAAGTTACTATCTGCTTGAAATCATACGTACCTATAGACATAATTGCTTGAACTCAATATTTTTAGGGAAAATAATATTCTCTTTAACCATTGAGATCACTTAGGATTTACCTATTTATAAACTTATTTTTTGATTAATCTGAGATAAGTATAAGACATTATATGTTTACTTGGATGATTTTATTGGATAGACTCCCGACTCGTGCTCGCCTTCAACGAATGGGGATTCATATGGATGAGAACTGTGATATGCAATGTAGTTATTGAAACAAGGGAGCACTTGTTCTTTGATTGTTGCTTAGCTACTTATTTATGGGAGAACATTATGCTTTTAACAGGACTACAGAAAACCTCTGTGTCATGGGAGGACATGGTCGCTCAAGCTTGCGAAACGTGGAAAGGCAAATATCTTCTCACTACTATTTTAAAGATTGCTTGGTGCGCATGTATTTATACCTTATGGGAAGAACGTAATCGAAGAATTTTCCAAGATTGCTCAAGAATTGCTGAAGTCATCCTCAAAGCTATCAAAGACATTGTTTGAATTCAACTTTGAGGAAGAAACATTAACCGTTTAGATAGTGTTAATATTAATCTCTGTAATGCATGGGGTATAGCTTAACCGATCATTCTTTTTGTAAGTAGGTTGTAAATATGTTTTGTGATTGGTTGTATTTGGTTTTGTAGTAGACTCTGCTTTTTGGGTAATAAATTAATTATCCAAAAAAAAACATTATATGTTCAAAGATAACTCTAAATTATTTGACATTGAATGTTAACACCTCTGACATTCCTGATGCTAGAACTCGAGACTTCAAAAAACAACAATAATTTCTTTACTACTGATATCATTTGGTTCGTACTAATTAACCCATCTACAAACTTATAAAAGATAATGAATGATCTATTTGTAAATTTATTAATAAAAAATGATTGATGGTGTAATTTATTCAACAAAAATAATTTGTTTTTTTTCTAATGACACCTTTTATGGTTCGTTTTATATTAATGATATTGTGATCTTTGTAGAACTGAAAATAGGTTTGATTAGTTGTCTATAGATTTAAGTAGTAAGTAATTTAGATATTATTTAAATAAGTATTAAGTTCGAATATTTATATATGTAATTTTAGGAGTAGAGGAAAAAAAGTATCCTTAAAATATTATTAAACAAAAAATATAGATACAACGCCGTCAAATTTTCAAATTCATATAAAAGGAAAACATCAAAGACAATTAAAATAACCATCACATAAAACTTTAAAAAACAATTCCTGTAGATAAACTTATACTATATTTCAAGTTACATTTTTATTCATTTTTGTCTGACTTGGGTATTTGATTATTGGGTTTGAGAATTAATTGGGTCTTTGATTTTTAATAGAATGAAAACTTATAGATTTGTGCTTAAAATCTACATTTAATATTTATTAATTTGGTTAATTAATTAGTTTTAAACTGAATTAAATAATAATAAATTTTGTTAAAACGAAAATACCGGTCGAAATAAAAATGGAATCAAACTAAAAAATAGCTTGAAAATCTGTTAAAGCAATTAAAGTTTATATTTTTAAAAAATCTTTTGACGTTAATGACTACACATTGTTAGCATTACTAGAAAACAAAATCGTTGGCCAACTTTCTCTCATAGAAAATTGTTGTAACTTGAAATTTTAAGTTAGCATTTTCATTCTTTGTATTTTGAAAACATATAAATAAAGAATGAAGGATGAAATGTATAAAACAGGGACAACGTCCATGGCTGAAGCACCATCACCACCACCACAGCCTCTTCCTTTCGAGAATGAAACAGTTAAGGTTTGCACGACTTTTCCGCCAAGGGTAAATTCCGTCGGTATATGGGAAAACCCAACTTCTCCATTGGAAATTTTTAGGTATTCGTTACCGCTTCTGGAGATAGAGATGCTGGTGGTGTTCTTCGTCACACGTCTCATATATTTCATCCTCAAGCCTCTTGGAGTCACCTTGTTTGCCTCACAAATGTTTGTAAGTTGATTGTAAACCTCTTTCCTTGCTCTGTATATATATATATTTGTGGAGTTAACTTGCACTCCAAGTAAGAGAAACCCTAGCTTCGTTTTGTGATTAATTTGTTTTGGTGTGAACTAGGCGGGCATGATGTTGGGACCTGCGGTGCTTGGGAGAGTCCATGACAAAATGTTTACTAAGGAATTAGGTATTGGAATCATGGATACAGCAGCAACGTTTGGTTTCGGCATGTTTTTGTTTGTGATGGGAGTGAAAATGGACTTCAAGATGGCATTTAGGACAACAAGGAGAGCCACAGTGATAGGCATTGTATCCCTTTTATTTCCTTTTGTGGTTGGTTTAATTGTTTACGAGGCCTTCAAAAAACCCGACGAAAGTTTACTGTTAAGAATGTAACGCTTAATGGGAATAACCATTGAATCTGTAACGGCATTCTCGGTGGTAGTGTGCCTTCTGAGCGAGCTCAAGATTGTAAATTCAGAATTGGGACGACTGGCTCTATCATCGGCATCCATAAGTGATTTTAGCAGTTTATTTCTAATTTACATCACATCCTTGGTAAAACTTTGGGTTGAGTCACCGGCATCCATGGTACAACATGTAGTAATAATGCTTCTTTTCATCGTTGTTGTTTTTTGGGGGTTTCGTCAATCGATGTTTTGGATGATTAAAGTGACACCTGAAGGAAGGCCAATCAAGGGAGCACACATTGTAATCATCATGATGTTAGCTTTATGGTGCGGTATATTTACCCATTGGCACAATGAATCTCCTTTACTCGGGATTTTTCTCTTCGGTTGTGCTGTCCCCGACGGACCACCGTTAGGATCTGCCCTGGTAGAAAAGTTTGAATGTTTCGTCAATGGTGCCTTTCTAGCCATCTACGTAACCACAAGAACAATGAGAGTTGATCCAATTGCGACGGTTTCTGATCCCATTGCACGCAAGTTTTCTATCATTTTTCCAATCTTGACATTCCTTGCCAAGTTCATATTCTGTTTTGTCGCTTCATTTTGGAAACTGATGCCATTGAGGGACTCGTTGGCTTTCGCTCTCATTATGTGTAGCAAAGGCGTGGTGGAGCTCGCGTATTTCTCCAGTTTCAGAGACAATCAGGTTAGTCGGTATAGGATTATTTGAATCGACATGTTTTAAATAAAGAACTAATTTTCTTTTCATTTTTCTCCAGATGGTTTCAAATGAGACTTTTAGTGTGTTGGTCCTTTTCATTCTAGTAAAGGCAACTATAATCCCAATTCTGGTGAAGTACCTTTACGACCCTATTTCCAGAAAATATATAGGCTATCAGACAAGAAACTTGATGTACTTAAAACCCAATGCAGAGCTACGAATTCTCGCATGTATCCATAGACCTGAACATGTTCAAGCCTTGATAGATGTGCTGGATATCACATACCCTACAAAAGAGAGTCCTAATTTTGTCTACGCCCTTCACCTCATCCAACTTACAGGTCGTGCTTCTCCCGTCTTTATAGCTCACCATGAAAACCCGACGGTGGATTCCTTTGAAAACATTGTTGCTTTCAATCATTATCAACAAAACAATTGGGGTCTGGTCAAAGTAAATGCATTCACAGCAATTTCTCCACCTAAACTCATGCATGAGGATATCTTCAATATGGTCCTCGAGAACCATATATCCTTCATACTTGTTCCATTCCATAGAAAATGGTGTATTGAAGGATATTTTGAAGCTGAAAACAATGTGATAAGGAACCTGAATCGCAACGTCCTGGATCAAGTCCCTTGCTCTATAGGGATTCTTGTTGACCGCAGGAGAAAACTGTCATCGTCCAGGTTATCCTCCTACTTCGTTGGCATGCTCTTCATAGGCGGCAAAGATGACCGAGAAGCTTTAACACTAGCCAATCGCATGGCCCGTCACCCTAGAGTGAAGCTCACCGTCATCCATCTCTGTTCTGAAAAAGACCATGGCAATGTCAAGGACTGGGACGCAATGCTTGATGCTGAGATTTTGAAAGGTATTAAGCTAATTGAAGTTGGTAACATCAAGTATATGGGACAAGTTTCCAACAACGGAATGCAAACCGCCACGACCATTCGGTCACTTGTGGATGACTTTGACTTGATGATCGTAGGTAGACGTTACGGGGTGGATTCGGTCCAAACAAAGGGTTTAACGGAATGGAGTGAATTCCCAGAACTCGGGGTTATAGGAGACATCCTTTCATCCCCAGATTTAGATACTAGAGCATCTGTACTGGTTGTGCAACAACATGTTGGTAGACATTAATTTTGTACAACGATACAACATAGTTCCAAACAATATCTTTACCAAGCGATTCAACGTTTTAAAATATAAACTCTCAAATATCTCGTTTATATAATATGTTGCCTGAAAAAACAAAAAAAATACTTACTGTATATCTTTTGTTTAAATCAATATTTTATTCATACAAACAATATCTTTACCAACCGATTCAACGTTTTAAATATAAACAAATTCGTTATAAAACTCAGAGAACCACTATCAATTGATTATCATTTATTACTTCTCATTCTCAAAGGAGAGAAGAATAGAAAAAGGTGAGAAAAAGCAAAATGTGGAATATTAGGGCTTGTAGAACGAAATGGCTCGTTTGGCAACAAGGCAAGGCAGCATTGTACATCAAATGTGTGTTCTACTACCAGATTTTCTGGTGACTAAGAAAGGCAACAAATGGAAACCGGAAATCTGATAAACAATGCATAACTAATGCTCTGGATGGAGATTAAGTAAAGTTTAAAAGCTTATTAAAACTAGTCTTGGAATAGTATTATTTAAAATTATTGGAACATTCCCTTTTCATGGCTAAATAGTAAAAACAAAAGGAAGTAATAACACAACGATATATGGTAAGAGCTTAAAATTATGATGATTGTAGGTCACCCATGTCTTTACTTTTCGGTTTGGTGATGAGCCCTCCAACGCTCCAAAGATTTGGGGTGTGCCCTAATTTCCCTCTCTACCATCCCTAATTTAATTTCAGAATTTTAATATCAGCCTTAACTTCCATCTTGAAACAAATGTTACATCTTAACCCTCATGATAAATAAAAGGTTCTTAACAAACTTTCTTCAAGAAAAATTATTTTAATCATTAAATAGGAACATTGTTGATTAACTTTTTTACATCAATTAAAATTATATTTCATTTTTAGAAATACTTAAGTTTTTATTGATTCTTGTAATGTTTTGAGTTTGAGTATAGTAAATAACAGAAAAATAAGATTTATCATAAATGAGATTAAATTAAATCAACTAGTAAGAATTGGAAAATAATAATTGCAGCAGTTAATGTTAGATTTTATGGTTACCAAGAACAAATGGTAAGGAATCAATAGGAGGAAGTGAGTTGTTGAAGTCCAAAATCTGACTCTCTCTCTCTTATCTATTCCCCTGTTTTCCCCCTCGCACTCTCTCCTGCAGTGCCTCACATCACTTGCTTTTGTGAGAGAGCTCAATAGCAGAAACTGCCCATTCACTATTTTTCTCCTCTAATTTCTCAACTGTTCATCTCAATTTATATAGAAAATCCCAGATTTTCCTTCACATTGCTAAACGGAAACAAACCAACCAGTAAGAAAGATTTATTTTTTTTACTCTGTTTATCGAGTAGAAAGCAGAGGATGGCTCAAATTTCAGCCAAGCTGTTATTTCCGGAGTCATTCCAAGTGTTCCGAGACGACATTACCGGCCAAGTGGGTTTGGTATGGGAACTCATGAAAACACCATTGATAGTTCCTCTACTGAAACTCGGGGTCTACCTTTGTCTAGCCATGTCGCTCATGCTCTTCATGGAGCGTGTCTACATGGGTATCGTCATCATCCTCGTCAAGCTCTTCTGGAAGAAACCCCACAAACGTTACAAATACGAACCCATCCTAGACGACGAGGAACTCGGCAGCTCCAATTTCCCCGTCGTCTTGGTCCAAATCCCAATGTTCAATGAGAAAGAGGTCTCTCATATTTCACATTCTTCCTTTTCCATTTCTTGGTTACTTCTGATCAGATGACTTACTTGTTTGAATCGAAACAGGTTTACAAAATCTCAATCTGAGCAGCCTGCGGGCTTTCATGGCCGGCTGACGGTCTTGTCATCCAAGTGCTCGACGATTAGACTTACCCAGCAATCAAGGTACATACATAAACTACTCTTCTTAGACCCCCCCCCCTTTTTCATGAATTAACTAACAGAAGGTGGATTGTGGGGCGCAGTTACTGGTGGAGCAAGAGTGCGAGAGATGGGCGAGCAAGGAGATAAACGTGACGTACCAAATCAGGGAGAACAGGACGGGTTACAAAGCGGGAGCTTTGAAAGAAGGGTTGAAGAGAAGCTATGTGAAACACTGTGAATATGTGGCCATCATCGACGCTGATTTCAGACCCGACCCTGAGTTTCTACGACGGAGCATCCCGTTTTTGGTGCACAACCCCGACATTGCTCTCGTTCAGGCTCGTTGGAGATTCGGTACACTACCCTTAAACCCTCATTCATTCATCTATCCTCATCTTAATCATCATGGTGATTTAATCCCATGAGTGTCGGTGGTCGTAACTCGTAAAAACACTTACTTTTTTTCTCTCTTTTTTTTTATAATTTTTGTCTTAGAATTTTGGGTTTTTGGTTCTGTCGGCTGAGGGAAAAGAACCCCCACCTGTCAGGGCATGGGACCCACTCTACTCTTGCTCAGCCATTCTCGATAGTTGATAGGATATTGGTATCCATTAAACTATGAATTATATTTAGATACTCCTACCAAGAAGTTCTAGTCTTTTTGTTATTAGTCTGTTTTAAAATTTTTAGATATAACAATCATTTATTTAATTATTGAAGTCGTTTGGTTCGTATTTATCTCGGCACCAAATTCATTATCACTCTTAAATATAACTGTATAAGTTTCATTCTTCTACTTAAGAACTAAGAAAGTAGCACCTATACTCTAATTTCAAATTTTAGTTATATATAGTTCAGAAACTTTGAATAATTAATACATTTCACCGTGGTGTTTATTTATCGATATATGAATGGACTTGTCAATTTTCATAAACTATAAAGATCAAATTCTGTCAAATCAGAGGGACTAATTTCTCATTGTTCATAAAATGTAGAGGTAGAATTGGTCATTATACCCCAAAATCCGACTATAAATAGTAGTAGTAAAGAAGCATTGCTAAAAGAAATGATTTTATTAGACATTCCAATTATTGATGAAGCTTTGTTATTAGTGATTTTGCATGTGATTTCCGAATGAAAAAGAAGAAGAAATAATTGGGGATAAAGCTGTTCTGATTAACGAACTTAGATTGAACGGGTCAAGAAAAGAGGAGCAATCTTATTCTTTATAGAGATTAGGTTAAAATAGTTTCCATCCTTGACCTCCGACGTTTGGGTGATGTTTGTTTGTAGTGAACGCGGATGAATGATTGTTAACAAGAATGCAAGAGATGTCATTGGATTACCACTTCACAGTGGAACAAGAAGTTGTATCAGCCACTCATGCTTTCTTCGGATTTAATGGTAAACATGCTGGATTTTACGTATAATATACAGACAAGACAACAATGTCAATCCAACTAAATTATCAATGCAGGAACTGCTGGGATATGGAGAATTGCAGCCATTAACGAGGCAGGTGGATGGAAGGATAGAACCACCGTGGAGGACATGGATCTTGCCGTCCGAGCTAGTCTTCGAGGATGGAAATTCGTTTACCTCGGAGATCTTCAGGTATCACTTCTGTTTCATACGTTCAGGTACGCTAAAACATGTCTAATTTATGTTTTCCCTTTGTATATAGGTAAAAAGTGAACTTCCAAGTACTTTCAAGGCTTCCGTTTCCAGCAACATAGATGGTCTTGTGGTCCTGCAAATCTCTTCAGGAAAATGATGTGGGAGATCATTCAGAACAAGGTTAAATTTTGCTCTAAATTCTTCTCTCTTTTTTCACTTTTACAACATCACTCTGTGTTAAATTCATTCATTTGTATTTGCAGAAAGTGAGATTCTGGAAGAAAGTTTATGTAATTTACAGCTTCTTCTTCGTCCGAAAGATCATTGCCCATATGGTCACCTTTTGCTTCTACTGCGTTGTCCTTCCCCTTACGATTCTGGTTCCCGAAGTTAAAGTACCGATATGGGGTGCCGTTTACATTCCTTCGGTCATCACCATCCTAAACTCTGTAGGAACTCCGAGGTATGGAATTGGCACCTATCTCTACGTTTCTCTGACTCTTCGTTTTTCTTAAAGTATTCGTATCTAACTTAAAATCGAACGTGACCGGACATTCGCAGATCCATCCACCTATTGTTTTACTGGATTCTGTTCGAGAACGTGATGTAGTTGCATCGGACAAAAGCCACATTGATCTGTCTGTTGGAAGCAGGCAGAGCGAATGAGTGGGTCGTCACCGAAAAACTCGGGGATGTAGTCAAGAAAGCTGCAGAAGCCGCTAATAACAAGACAAATGTTAAAGCTCCCAGAAGGTTTAGATTCAAATTCACTGATAGGTAAAGAAATAAGCTCGATACGAATATGCTCATTCGGATTCGATATTCAGATATGTTTTCTTTTGCATGAACAGATTGAACACATTGGAATTGGGATTTGCAGCATTCCTTTTCCTATGCGATGCTATGATTTGGTGCATGGGAAGAACAACTACTTCGTGTACCTGTTCCTCCAAACCATTACCTTTTTCATTACAGGAATGGGGTATGTCGGTACCATCATTTAATGCTCCAAACGTCAGCATTTGTTGTGGCTGCATCGTTACAGCTTTTTACTAGCCTGCCAAACATGCAAAAATGGAGAGAGCCTCTCATTCAGTACAAAGAAGAGCTGTCGTTATCTTTCCAGTTAATGGAGAATTCAACACGGAAAAGAAGATTGATGTTGTTATGGGGAAGAGGTGAAGGACACTGAAAAAAGAATCCAAAAAAGAGCTTTGTAGTAAAAAATAACTGGAGATGATGTTAAATAGTTTGCTTCTAGTGGTGAGATTTGTTGTCTTTTTTTATATATTATTTTGGGTTTTGTGTTGGTAAAAGTATCGCTGCATACTAGCCATCACTATGACTTCTATTGTCAAGTGGCCAATAGTAACTGCTATTGTCAGGGCCTTCATCAACCATTTTTTTCCTCTGACCTTTCAGTTAATAACTCTGACCATCACTACCATTTCTGCATTAGTTCCTCCCAATGTTTTAATATCCGTATTCAAATATAAAATTACATACACATAACGAGTATA